GAGGCAGGCGGATCTCTGTGAGTTCAAGGCCAGTCTGTTGTACATAGTGAATTCCAGGACAGCTGGGGCTACAGGGAGACCCTGTCTCAAAAAGACCGAAAAAAAAATTATTAAGAAGTTGTTTTGGGGCATATATTGATTATACATAATGTGTTTCATTATGACATTTCATAATATCATATATGTTCATGCATATGATCTATTTGGATTATATAGCCCCACTATCTTCTTGTCTCCTCCATTTGGTAATTTCCTTCCTCTTTCAGTAGAGCCCCCATTATACTTTATCGTGTGTGTGTGTATGTGTATGTGTGTGTGTGTGTGTGTGTGTGTGTGTGTGTGTATGCTAATGAATTTAATTAATGTTACTTACAGGAGTTGAAGTTGCAAATAATTTTATAATGCCACTTGCCTTCTCTGAGACTAGCTATTTGAGATGAGGTGCCAGGGGCCACAAACAGTTAGGCACTAATTGTATAATACATCACAAGTCACTGTGTCAGGCTCCAAGCACTTAGGAACTGACTGTTGTAGAGTGGGAAAATTTCGCTTTTATTTTTGGCCCTTTTGTCTCAGCAGTGAGGACCTGAGGGAGGAGAGGTAAGGGTCAAAAGAAAAGATGAAGTTTTGAAGGAGGAGGCCCAGTTGGCAGCAATATAAGAACTAAGAACTAAATGAAGTTATTCTGAGGGAAGAAGATAGTAGAGGGGAAGGGTCTGAGGGAAGAAAAGATTTAGAGGGGATCTGAGGATGGAGACTAGTTCTGAGCGCGATTTTGGAAAAAATATGAAGGTCTGGCGGGGGGGTGGAGACATGGCCTACAGAAGGAATGAGGCAGGACAGAAAGAAGATTAAGGAGACATGGAAAGGGAAAAGGGCCCCTCACTCAGAAGTCTTCTTAAAGTCTTTCCCCAGCTGAGAGTGAAGAATTCCAGCACAAGAACTGTAAGAGATGAATGAGCACATACTACTCTTGCAGAGGACCTGAGGTGCTTTCCTGGCATCAGTGTCAGGCTGCTCAAAACCACCTGTAACTCCATCTCCAGGGGATTCAATGTCCTCCTCTGGCCTCCTTGGACACTGTACTTAATGTGTACAAATGTTCACACACACACACATAAATAAAAAATAAAAAGACAAAACTTTATAGAAAAGAAATTCAGCAGTTAGTAGCATTTGCTGTGAAGATTGCCTGCATATACAATATTCCTTCTGTATAGTTGTATTTTAAATATTATTAAAATAACAATGCTTATGATTAAGGCCTAAAAAATATGACCTTCATTATGACCTAACTCCTTTCACAAATGTAAACCTGAAATGTTCTCTACCTATTTTTTCATTAAAACAACTCCAATACCGCCGGGCGTGGTGGCACATGCACTTGGGAGACAGAGGCAGGCGGATCTTTGTGAGTTTGAAGCCAGCCTGGTCTACCTAGTGAGTTCCAGGATAGCTGGGGCTACAAGGAGACCCTGTCTCAAAAAAATAAATAAAAAACAAAACAAAACAAAACAAAACAAAACAAAACAAAACAAAACCAACAACAACTCCAATTTGAATATATTGGTAAAGTATAGTTATTGTTGGATCTTTATCCCGTATTATAGGCTGTTTATAGTATATCCATAATGGGCACATAGAGCTGCAATAAATCTGCTCCTTCTCTGTTTTCTGCCAGGTGGAGGAAAAGGTTTATTTGTTCTTGCACATGATGATAGACCCCACTATCCTCACAGTAAGAAACATTTTTACTGCTGAGAAATTGGGGGTATAAAATATTAAACAAATGTGTTTAGAAATAGTCAATAAGCACTTATTAAATGTCTACTTTGTACCAAATAACTCTGCTAAGGATATAGCTTTAAAGAGAGACAATTAATCCTTGCTACCCTCAGAGCTGAATCTATTCTGTGAGATGGTAGTTGTATTCACAATTCAATGTGCTTAGTATTTATAAGAAATAGCTATAGTAAGCTCTGGGAACATTTAACTAATGTATTCTACCTTGGTGAAGGAATTAGAAAGCCTGAGCTGGCAAGAAAAGTAGCATTTGATCATGTAGCAGGAAGAGGAACATCATCACAGAAAGGACAGTTAGTGTAAAATGGGATTGTAAATGGTAAGATGACTCCATGTGACCTGCCTGTGTGTAAGAGACCTGTGGCAGCAGGTTAGAGGATGTGGCCAGAGGGAAAGGAAGAAACCAGATGGCTTATCACTATGCTGACTATCCTAGGCAGAATTTAAAAGACTGCCTAGTAGATGGTTCTTGGCCTGTGTTAGCACTCTTTGTATATAATCAGTTAATGAAAATAGTATTGACTAAACTGAGCTAAATTCTTTAAATTTAATAAACATTTCCAAATGATAATCATGTTATTTTATAATACCATCTTGATATTATGGATGTGATCATTCAAATATGTTATCCTTCAGCCAGTAATTATTGTTAAAAATAATTTTTTGAAGTATAAATATGCCATTTTTACCTGTGAGATTCAGTGAGTTTTGACAAATATATACAGTCACTGTAACCAACACTCTTGTAATTGTTTTCATCTGCCTACATTAGCTTTAAATCACTTTTGTGAACTAAAAAAATTTTGTACTATTAAAGATACAATATCCTAAGAACAGAGAAATAAAAACTATCATTCTTTAAACCAGAAAAAAAATTTTTTCCCCTATGAAATATTTGAAGATCTGTACAATTGCTATATTTTCTCAGGCTTGTCTCTTGAAATTTTCAGAAGTAAAAAGACTGAGAAGCAAGCTTATGAGCTATCTAGGGAGACTGTATGATATGAGAAGGTAGTGGAGGGAAACAGCCAGTATGAAGACAGAAGAACTGTTTTTAAAACAAACAAGACCCTTCTCTTTGAGATAGAGCAACTCTACTACTGGAAGAATATTGAAGGCACTCTCAGTTGTCCATAGTCTTGATATTCTTGTCCATTAAAACTCAGGGATAGGGCTGGAGAGATGGCTCAGTGGTTAAGCAAGCACTGGCTGCTCTTGCAGAGGACCTGAGTTTGATTCCCAGGACCCACATGGTGGCTAACAACTGTCCATAGCTCCAGTTCTAGGGGACTCTGACACCCTCTTCTGACCTCCATGGGCATTGCACGACACAAGTGCACCTACCTACATGCAGGCAATATACTCAGACACATAAAATAAAAATACTAAATAAAATATTTTAAACAAGCCAAAAACTCGGGGATAGGAACTGAGAGGTGGCTCAGTGGTTAAGAGCACTGGCTGCTCTTACACAGGACCCAGGTTGTGTTCCCAGGACACATGTGGCAGCTAAAAACCACCCATAACTCCAGTTCCTGGGGATCCAATACTTTCTTGTGGGCTCTGAGGGCATTGTACACAGGTGGTGCATTTATATGCAGGCAAAACACTCATACACATAAAATAAAAAAAATTTTTTTTTGTCCTTTTGAGACAGGGTCTCTCTGTAGCCCCAGCTATCCTGGAACTCACTTTGTAGACCAGGCTGGCCTTGAACTCACAGAGATCTGCCTGCCTCTGCCTCTTGGAGTGCTGGGATCAAAGGCGAGTGCCACCATGCCCGGCTAAAATAAAAAATATTTTTTAAAAATCTATTAATCTGGGGCTGGAGAGATGGCTCATCGGTTAAAAGCACTGACTGCTCTTGCAGAGGACCCAGGTTCGATTCCCAGCTCCCACATGGTGGCCACAAACTGTCCTTAACTCCAGTTCCAGGGGAATCTGAAGCCCTCTTCTGACCTCCATGGCATTGCATGACATGGGTACACTCACATACATGCAGGCAATACATTCATACACATAAAATTTTTAAAAATCTATTAATGTGATATATTGCATTTATTAATTTTTATATGTTGGACTGTCCTTTCAATGCAGTTTTGTTATATATAGATATCACAATTGTCATTTAGAGTACCTTGAGTACATTCACTCTTTATTGATTGATTAAATATATTAAAATTAAAAAGGAAAAAATTTCAGATGGATAATGACCAACCACAAAAGACATAATCCTGGGTTTAGCTAGGAATCCAAGAACTTGGAGGACACAGACTGCATATGCTAAGCTTGTTATTAGCATATAGTAAAGAGGAAGCTGACAGATCCCAGTAGTAACCTTCAGCCATATGAAGCCATACAGCAAGAGAAAAGTCGTGTGTCCAGTAGGATAAGGGGATGTGCATTCATATTACCCTAGGCTTTGTCTAAAGAGCACTGCAAGACAGAATGAGCTTTTAATTGGAGTTATCATCAAAATGGAAGTTGCACATATTTTATTGGAGACTTTTAAAAATGTATCTGGAGTTATTTAGGTGTATCTAAGGAAGACTGGAACTGAGAGCTGGAACGAAATGGGAGGTGCTAAGCCTCTGGAAGAGTCATTCTACAAGCAATAGTTTCACATCAATGGCCTTTGTTAGATGAAATATGTAAATTGCTCAATTGAGAGAAGGTCCTTTTCTCATTCCATAATTATTTTAGCTCTCTTGAAAGGTTCTGATTGAATTATTCCTTTTAAGAGTAAGGAAGCCAATGACTGCTCCATTAAAATATTCATGTCTGTTTAAAAAAAATTTAAAAACCTGGGGAATAGATTGGTGAATTCTAAACACTACAAAGAAAACTTTGGAGTCTTACAGGGTGTGGGTAGGAGATAGGTTGGGGACAGGAGGATTAGGCATAATGGCTGTATTTTTAAGGGTAGTAGATTTGGCTTGATGTCAGCAAATATGGGACAGAAAGTGAATATTCAATCTCTCTCTGAAAATAGTATTTTGTACATTGTACAATCAGCTGACTTTTCATTGTTAGAGAATTGGAAGTTTTTCTAAAGTAGTGAGTTTTATCATTAATCTACTAGATTTATGTATTTTCCCAGAAGTTATTACTTTTAAGAATAAAATATACATTTAGATCTGAGAGCCACCAAGTTTTATATTTTTAAACAATTATTTTATGTTATTTGTTTTAACCAGTTACCCATGGGTGTATTGTTTCCACAATAAAACTTTTTCTACCAGATGGTATGGAAGCCCGGCTCCGCTCAGAGTGAGTATAATTTAGTGCTGTGAACTTTTGAATCATTATTTTGTTGGGTGATATTCTAGATGATGATATACTGTTAATACTTCAGGATTATTTTAATATATTAGAAAATTGATACAGTACTTTTGGGAATTTTATGTATACACCAGTTTCAATCACTTTTCATATTATTTGCAAATCTCATAAATAATAATGTATCGGGGCAGAGGTTATTTGTTTCCAAATTTAACTTTAAAATTTATATTTGAGTGAATAAATAGTTGTTCTTTGCAATGTTTAGGATATGTAAGTTACTGGTGAATGAAAACTGTTGTTTTCATATACATTTAATATAGAATTTTCAATACTGTGATCACTCCTGGAGTTAATGTCAATGTCATAATCTTACAGGATTGAAGATATCAATATAGTTAGTGACTTATTTGATGGGAGCTTTAACAAGGTTCTGTTTTTGTTTTTGTTTGTTTTTGTGGTTTTTATTAAAAAAAAAGTTAGGGCTGGGCGTGGTGGCGCACACCTTTAGTCCCAGCACTTTAGTTCCAGAAGAGGCAGTTGGATCTCTGTAGTTCAAGGCCAGCCTGGCCTACGTAATGCGTTCCAGGACAGCTGGGGCTACAGGGAGACCCTGTCTCAAAAAGACCGAAAAAAAAAAAAAAACCCAAAAAACCAACAAAGTTGCATTTATGTTTCAAATGAAGAGATGTGAAGTCCTGTCATGAAGTCTGTATTTAAAATGTGAGCATAAGTACGTCTCATGCCTTTTACAGATATCATGATGGAGTATGGGGTGGGGCTTGGCAGTCATTAGATACCAACACGTTTTATTTGAGGAAAGCCTTAAATATGCTGGTTTGTTTTTATGCAAAGCCTTGAATATGCTAGATGCTTGTTTCTTCCCTACAAAAGCTTTCTGTTATTATAGTCTATTTTTTGCTAGTAGTCTACAGAGTTTTGAGTATGACAAAATTTCTAGAGTTTAAGGAAAAGCTGAATAGTGAGTAGGAAAGGGAGAAGGAAAGATGAAGCAGAGGAAGGCCCTCCCATTGCCAACAGTCTCTCCTGTCTATTGTCAGAATGAGCTAGATTATGCTTCCTGTAGTATCTATCATGTTTTTTCCATTTTAGTTTTATGGATCGTTGAAACAAAGCAGAAATTGTAAAAAGTGTCATTTCCTATTTTAAACTACAGTGTAATTAAAATTGTAGAAAAGTTTAAGATTTTATTTTTATTTGATTATTAAAATTTGAAGTAAATTCAACCTTTAATGTCACTTAGCTTTTATAAGTCAAGAATTAAGCTTATAGGCACAGAGTAACAATTAATGACATAGCTTTTAAAAAGATTAACATTTGTAGTTGATAATGAAAATTTTTTGATAAAAGTGAAAGTCTATATATAAACTTCCAGTTGTATAGGAAGTCTTCTGTGTTCTCTGGTTTCATCTAGCATAATATATGAGTGTGTGTGTGTGTGAGAGAGAGAGAGAGAGAGAGAGAGAGAGAGAGAGAGAGGGGGAGAGAGAGAGACAGAGAGAGAGAGACAGCGAGAGAGAGAGGGAGAGAGACAGAGACAGACAGAGAGAGACAGACAGAGAGACCGAGAGACAGACAGACAGACAGACAGAGACAGACTTAAGGCCCTCATGCTTGTCTGGCAAGTGCTTTACCCACTGAGCCATATCCTCAGCAGACTATGTAAAATTTTTGGACATTATTTTCAATGAATTTTTCCAATTCCTTGTAGCTTTTGCTCCTGGTTCCTTCTCAGTATTTTTTTCTGTTGCTCTTATTTTCTTTTTTTTCTTCTGCTTTTTCTTTGTGTGTGTGCGTGTGTGTGTGTGTGTGTGTGTGTGTGTGTGTGTGTGTCTGCATGCATGTGGGTATGTCTGCATGTGGAAACAGAGGACAACCTTGGGTGTTACTTCTCTGCAGCCATGTACCTTGTTTTTTGAAGGTAGGGCTCACTGATTTGCCTAGTCTGGCCAACTGGTCATTGAGTCCCAGGGATCCACCTGTCACTTTGCAAGTTGCTGAGGTTATAAGCATGTCACAGCACCTGACTTCTAATATGGGTTCTAGGGACTGACCTTAGGTCCTCAAGCTTGTACAACAGGCACTTTACCTACTGAAGTATTT